TCAACTAGGTAGCTAGATATAGCAGCTACCTTTCATTCATACATTTCTTTCATTCTGCATCATTCTTTATCCTCTAAATGGTGCTTTCTCTCAGTACAGTAAACTTCCGATAATACGGCACCTTTAGGACCCAGGGGGTGCCGGATTATCAGATATGCCGGACTATCGGAAGGGGGGGCTATGAGGGGTCTGGGGTCAGACCCCTCATAGCCCCCCCTTCCGATAGTCCGGCATATCTGATAATCCGGCACCCCCTGGGTCCTAAAGGTGCCGTATTATCGGAAGTTTACTGTACTGAGAGAAAGCACCATTTAGAGGATAAAGAATGATGCAGAATGAAAGAAATGTATGAATGAAAGGTAGCTGCTATATCTAGCTACCTAGTTGAACAATTCAGGACCAGTTTTGGCTCAGATCCAATGCTTTACCTCCAGTCACATCAAAAAGAAGAAAGTGCTATTTATTTTCTCAGTCTTCCTGTAAATCTTAAGCATAGGTGTGTGAAGGAGGGTTGGATCAGCTCCAAATGGCAAGGAATATGACAAGGATCTAAAAGGTCTTTAAGCTGTCATAAAGAAAGTGGGTCCCTATAATTAAATACATGTCACTAGCTTTCTTCCTTCTCTTTTCTTTTTTGTCCCATACAGTGATAGCCTTCTGAACAAAGATAAAACTGAACTCTGTTTCATTTTCCTAAACAGTCTTATTACCATCCCCCCTTCCCTCAAAAGGTGCTGATATTTGAAGAGTTGCTTTTCCTTTTTTATTTCCCCCCCCCCCCCCCCCCCATGAACAGCTGGTGAACTATAGGGAAAATGGAAACTTTTCAAGAAAGGGCTTAATCCACCATCTGAAATTCAAAGAAGTATTAAGTTATTATTCAAATGAAAATCTCTTTTTGCCCATTAACATATTTTCATCAACAAAAAGCAAAATGCTGATATGAGAGGAGATCTGTGCATTCCTATTTATATGATAATTGAATGGTCAGGGAGTTTGCCTGTTATTTTCCTAGGACATGGTATATGTCAATTAAAACTATGTTTCAGCTACTGCTCTAATGAAGCCTAGCATCATTAAGAAATCATTTATTCTATGTAAGCTCTTATGGGGTTGGGGGCAGCATCTTAAGCCAGCCAATTTATGCAACCTACATTGTTACATGATTGTCAGCTTTTGCCTTTCTACAGACAAAGCAAAATTAATAATTCTTATCAGTAACAAGTGACAAGAGAATTATTTCTGTCTATCAAAAGTGTTGTAAATAGGGATAAGAATGTTGCTTTGCCTTCTGTGTATTTGCATATTTTGAGTGTTCTTAGAAATCTGGGATGTTCTAATTCAATGGCTCATATTCTTTATCTCTGTCAATCAGGCTTTCTTTGAAGAGTAAAAATATTTTTAAAGGTGAGCGTATAAGTGCAGTTCCCTTTAGTCTAAGCATTGCCATAAGTCATTATGCAAAAATATTAGCCTTAATGTAAGAATGCAATATTCCGTCGAAATTAGTTGTGCTAGGTTAGGGTTGAATTTGATGCAAGAAGTCCAGCAGGCCATACTGCAAATGCATCATTAGTCAAGATAATTGTCAGTGTTGAAAAAGCACATTTAGTACATATACCTCACTGATGTGTATAGCACAAGTTTTAACATTCTAAATCCAGTCACTCAGTTGATGTCATTGTTTAATATGCAAGCCAAGGAATCCATTCATCATACATCCTCCTCTTTATGATAATTTTTCTGGATCTCTTCTTCCCTCAGTGCCCACCAGTAATACCATTCTGTGGGATTACTGCCAGATGAGTGCACTGTTTGCATAGCTGAAGGAGAAGAGAAAACATATACTAATGTGAAGGTTGAGGGATGTTAAAATAGTTGTAAAATGCCTAATTATAATAGTGAACCTTACCTTCTTTTACAAATATGAATGTAGAACTTGTGCTCGGGAGTTTTGTCTGAGCAAAATCCAGGCTTAGGCTCATACAGACCACCCTCACTACATAATGGCACCTGGTGGTAAATATTTTTGTTGGCATGTGTTTGGGAAACTGCATTAATCAAAAATAAAGTTGAGTAAGCTGTACTGGTCACCTCAAACAATTATCTAGAAATATTTACGGCAATATTTTACGTATCTATTTTTCTGTAAAGGCAGGTTACACTTTAGTTCCAATTACTGCTCCTGGGCCATTAGTTGATGTGACCAGATGCAATTTCATGCTACATTTAGGAGGAAAAGAAAACAGTTCAGTGGCAGCTTTTTAAAAAAATAGCTCTGAGATTTAGAATACATGAAATTGTCACAGGTCCAGATGAATTAGTAAGCAGTGGCTAAGTGAGGTGGTCAGAAGTGTAAATGCTATGGTTCTTCCTGGGAAAAAACTGAATTTATTCTGTGCTTATGACTACACAGAATCATAGAAATGTGGGCCTAGAAGGACTTGGCAAAGTTCAATCCCCTGCTCTAAGACAGGACCAAGTTTACTTAGACCCTCCCTGACAGGTGATTTTCCAACCTGTTCTTAATCTCCAGTGATGGAGATTCCAGCACTTCCCTTAGAAGCCTATTCCAGTACTTAACTGCCCTTGTAGTTAGAAAGCTTTTCCTAATGTGAAACCTAAATCTCCCTGGCTGCAGGTAAGCCCATTACTTTATGTCCTACCTTCGGTGGACATGGAGAACAGTTGATCAACATCCTTTGTATAATCTGCTGAAACTGTTGTCAGGTTCTCGACTCTACTCCCCACTCACTCTTTATTCATCTTTTTCCAAGACTAAGCATACCTGTTTTTAACCTGTCTTCAAAGGACAGGTTTTCTGAACTTTTTGTCCTCTTTATTTTTCCTTTCTGTGCTCTCTCCTGTTTGTCCATATCTTTGCTAAAGTATGGAGCTCAGGATAGACCCCACCCCCCATGCTCCAGCTGAGGCCCCCTCATTGCCAAGCAAACTGGGACAGTTACCTCCCAGGTCTGGCTTGGAACACTCTGTTAATTCACCAGAGCATTAGCCTTTTTCACAGCTGTATCCCAGTGGTGACTCATTCCATTTGTGATCCATTATAATCCCCAGATCCTTTTCAGCAGTACTACCAGCTACTCAGTAATTCCTCATTTTGTACCTGGGCTGCTGCAGATTTTATAAGCCTAGTGATGACTTCATTATCCAAGTCATTCATGAAATAATTGAATAGTACTGGTTTCGGGACTTACCCCTACAGGATTCCAGAAGATGCACCCTCCCATTTTGACAGCAAACCTTTGATGACTGCTCTCTGCGTATGGTCTTTCAGATAGTTGTACACCCACCTTAAAGTAATTTGACCAAGAACACATTTCTCTAGTTTGCTTATTAAATTAATTTAACATGACTAAAGACCCTGAAGCCCTCCTTTCAGACATTGCAGTACTCTAGTTAACACAATTACATAACATTCCTTATATCTTACCACTTCTGTTGCCAAAGAGCTATTATAGTATATTATAGTATACTTATAAACAGGTCACCTGAGACAAGATAGGAGTAACTGGTAACTTGCCAGATCAAAGAGTCTGTTAAAAAAATCAATGAAGATACTTCCTGTATAGTGATTACTGCTATCCAGGGCTGTAAATTATTATTGAGAAAAGCAGTGAAACAAACAGTCTGAAAACCTGTTTACGGCACTCATCATAATTTATATTTAGACAGAAAGCACACTCAGAATTCATCCATCTTTCAAGCAATTTAGGCAAATAAGAGTAGAAAGGGGTCTGAAATTATTTAAATCAGAGCTGCACAGTTTTTCATACTAAGACTCTAGTGAAATACTGGATTTGTTCTGTTCATTTATGTTAGAACTTTATCAGGCACTAAGGCTTTGAAAGGATGAGATTTCATGTCTGTCTCTCAGTTTGTGCCTCTGAAATGTGATTTGTTTGTAAGGGAGGATAGGCCACTCAAGCTAAAATGAGCATTTGGCAAGAGCAGAGTAAGCTACCATTGTCATTTAGCTTTATTATTTTCTGGCAACATGTCAGGCTAATTGAAATGACCTGCCTGAGTATGTAAACCATTCATCTCTGTTCACTGGTTGGCATTCCAGGGATATTTATGCTACAGACTCTCTAAAGGTGCGAGAATGGGCAGGATGAACAGCAACATTACTCTGGGACCAAATAATAAAATGGAGATGTCTTTGATCAGCTGAAAAAGTGAAAGTCATACTGAATTACTAGTACAGTTGAAAGATAAAAGCTTTTCAGTTTAGAATCAAACGTGTCTGGCAAGTATGTAAGAGGCTATGCATATATTTTGTATAAAATATATAAAAAAGGTTTTTAAACATTATGGGCTAAATTCTATGCTGTTTTAAATCCATGTAGCTTCACTGAAGTTAGCAGTTACGCTGATTTATGCCATGTGAGGAGATGACCTTATAATTACTGTTGTATTGCCTGAAAATGTTGCATCATTCAGTATATTTGCATTTTATCTGGTTTGCAGATTTTTGGTTCAATCCTGCAAGATGCTGAGTACCCCTCAACTCTCAGAGGAAGAGATTTTTCTAGGAAACTTTTGGAAGGGCCCTGAAACATGAGTGGATCTGGGCTTCTTAGGGTACAAATAAGAAATATTTTTATTATTTTTTAATACATTCTATGACGATAGTAATTGTGTAACACTTTCCAAAAATATAAGATATTGCTTTCCAAACAATTATTGTACCTCATATTATGCTTTGATGAGATTACTACAGGTTGCTCCTCTCAAAACCAGTAATACCGCAGATGTTGCAGGACCAGAGAGCCCAGGGAGTCTAGTGGCTGGAGGCCTGGCAGCAAGGGTCTGGGTCTGGATCCTGCTGGCATCCTGGCTGGGCATGAGTCAAAGACAACAGGGCTGGTAGCCTGGCTTGGGCTAGCGGTGGGGAGGGGAAAGGAGGCTGGGGCAGTAGCGCAGAGCCCGGAGCGTTGCCTTGCACTGGCCCTTTAAGGGGCTGAGGGTGGGGTCAGAGGCAAGCCCAGCTGAGGCAGCTAATGAGGGCTCAGGTGGAGGCTATAAAGAGCAACTCCTGGTAGGAGGAAGAGACTAGCCTGCTTGCTGCTCTGGAGGGAGTGCAGTAGAGACCTGACTGCCAGGGATGCAAGAAGCTCCCTGGAAGAGGGCAGGGCTGGGGAAGCTTTTGGGCCTAGCAAACCCCAGCTACCAGGCCTGAGGCCCTAGGGGCTGCGAGAGGCAGCTGTGGTAGGCTGGGGAAGCTTGGGCCAGGGAAGTCCCAGGCTTGAAAGCCGTGTTGCAGGAGGCAAGCTGGTAGGCAGAGGTAGCAGGTCTGCACCCTTTGCCAGGGAGGAGTGGCCTGTAGGGACAGCAGTCTGCCTGGTGACAGGAGCTAGAGAGGGACTGGCAGTGGGCTACTGAGGCCTGGAGGGTGCAAGGGAACTGGGTGTTCCCTGGTAGAAGAATTGGGGGCCCGAAGAAGTAGGGAAGACCCTGGAACATAGTGAAAGAACAATGGCACCCTCCCGGAAAGGGCGCTGACAAAGACCGGAGTGAGCACTGCTGGAGGGTAGTGCCCTGAAGACAACGCTGTACTGATGGAGGACTTGGGGGAGACGCCAGTGGAAGGGGGTGCGTTGGAACAGCCAGCTAATTCTCCCAAAGTCACTTTGCTGAAGGCGCCATGCTGGTGAGTCAACACAATTACAGTGACATAGAAATAAAAAGCCCAACACGGTCTGTGTGAGGTATCAAAGAACTGAACTAGAAATTCATAGCCTGATATGCATTAAAAGAGTGCAGACTGCTAATATGAACAGTAATCATAGCTACTTGCTTTGAGAACAGGAATAATAATCTGCTGTTTTCAGGAATACAGCTCATTGAGTTTCCTCACATGTGCACTCCTTGAAGAAGAATCAGAGCTTGCACTATGCATTTAGTAAAGCAGCAGATTTTCATATTTGAATTGGTAGCACATTATTTAAATGTATTTTAACCTAATGAAATGATATAAATGGCACAATGAAGCTATACACAATTCAGAACTCAAGAATTGTTCTCAGCTAAGCTGTGCTTTGCTAAACAATTAATGAAAAATAAAAGGTAACAAGGTCACAGTCATTGTGATTTAGGTGGAGGAGAAGCTGTAGGAAGTCTCTGGAGTTGTATAGAAGATTTGCTTAGGCATTGGGGGAGAATGTGGGAAAAAATAACAAACATACATTAATAAATAATATTACAAAGCCACTCCGGTAGTAGCGCAACAACAAAAAGCAACAATCCTAACATGGTTAATGACTAATTCAAGTTTATTTGAATTTATTTTGATATTTATTTATTGGGGAAAATAAAGTTATGCTTCATGGGTGGAAGGACACAACAGGAAAGGAAGTCAAGTGTTTATTACTTGACAATGTAGGAAAAAGTCTGTGCCTATACATGTATATTCATACTGTGTCATTAAAAAAAGTATGAATGTTTAACAAACTTAAATAAGGCTTTGCGTACACTGACAAGCTTTAGCGGCGCAGCTGTGTCACTGCAAAAGCACTCAGGTAACTGCATTATGCTGATGGGAGAAAGCTCTCCCACCGACATGATAAAACCAGCAATGATGAGTGATGGGCTGGCACTGACACAGCAGTGTACACACAAGCATTTACACTGGCAAAGATTCATGTTTTTCTGAGGTAAAAGCCAGCTCCCCCCCAGCACTGGCTCTGTGGTGCTGCCTGCCCCACAGGTTGCTGCCTATCGGGCAAGGGAGGCTGCTATGAAGCAGCCTCTGTCCGTGGCGGGCCTGGGCCCACCGCAGACAGATGCTGTTCTGCGGCAGCAGCTCCTGTCTGTGGGGAGCTCAGGTCCCACCCCCCGGGACAAGAGCTGCTGCCATCCTGCGCTGATGCCTCTGTATCAGAAGCAGCAGGCGGGAGCCAGTCTGTGGGGGGAACTAGTTTTTAAACTCTGCTGATACGGAGGCAGCAATGCAGGGCCGCAGGGGACTCCCTGCCACTGGGGACTAATGAATGATCATGTAATTGCTAACATTTGGTTCAATTACTCTATCTAACATCCCTATTTCTACACAGGGAGACACCAGAAAAATAATCTGATTTAACAAAGTTGTAAATTTCAAGTAGTTTAGGTAAATTGTATTGAATCTCTGTATGGACATTGCCATTAAGGAGTTTAAATCATTTAAACTGAACCAAATTAATGCCTCTTTAATTCTTTAAATTAATGACAGTGTCCATACAGGGTTTTAATGCAGTTTACATAAACCACTTAAAATTCACATCTTTATTTACATTGATTTAATTTTTTGAGTGTCCCTGTGTAGACAAAAGAGTAAAATTTTGTGTGGGCACTTCCAATTAAATCAGGCTTATTTCAGGTTAGTTCAGATCAGTTAGAAATCATCTAAACTAAATCAAAATAAGCCAATCAAAACCACAAAAAAAAGTGTACTAAGAGGTTTAATTAAACTAGCTTAAAATTGACATAAATTAAACTGGTGCAACTTTAACCTTACATACAAGGATCTATACTGCAAGATCATTAAGAAAGGAGCTGTGTGTGTTTTATTTGTCTCTATAAAGCAAGGTCTGTGAAAAGAAGTGGATGCCTAAAGGCCAGATTTTGCAGTAGAAGTAGCCCTTTTGTGGATCTTCATCAAAGTACACAGCACACTATACACTGCATAAACAACAACAGAATTTCTAAATACTATGCTGAGAGAGCCAGGTTGGTGGCAGATTCTTCGTTTGTCTGCATCAGTTTCTTTACTTTCAGGAAACAAACAGCATCCCATCACTGCTAATCATGGTGTTTTTTGGGTTTTTTTTTGCAAAGCTGAAATCCCTTTGAGATGCCTGTGACCACCATACTTCCTAGTGATTTTTTAGGGATTTCCCACAGTTTGTATTTACTACAGTAAAATATTATAAGGAAATATAAGGAAATTCCTCATTCTATTTATACAATAATGTAAATATACTGGGTCAATATTATTTTACTGAAATGTATCATTTTGGCCACAATGATTTCAAAGAACATCTCTGGAAAACAGAGACTCTGGCAGCTTCTATTAGAACAAGAAAATGCTCTGTATATTTCACAGTGCTATATGTTGAACTGTTTTGGATGGAGAAGGCTCTTTCAATTTTGCATAATTATTGTTTCATTCCGTTCTAAAGCAATCTCTAAAGACTCAAATCCTTTACTCTTCTAAAGGTTTTGAAGGTAACGTTTTACATCTGTTTTCAATAGCAGATAGGCCAACATCACATCCAAAATATATAATTACCTTTATTCTTTTTCATACACTGAATGCATTTATTTTACCACATACTGCATGAGAGTATATTCCTATACCAATTTCATCTTTTTTGCGAGCAAGACAGTGGGAACACCCTCCCCTTCCCCCGCCCCGGCCCAGATATTACTGAGGATAGAGAGAACAGAACTTTGTGCTTCAGAACAGCATTTGGGCTATGATAAGATAAGTTTTTTTTTTTTTTTTTTTTTTTTTTAAAGAAGTGACACAAGTATGTCTAGAGAAGAAAGATGAAAGTGTACTTTTCTGCTTTGGAGATGAAAGGCAGACATTTAAAAGACATTTTCTGGAGAGAAGACGTATTAGAAAGTCTAACTATTTTTAAAAAAATCACGCCGAGATATTGTTGTGCTTAGATGTCGAGATCAAAACCAGATCTGCTATTTAGAAAATAACAGGAGGTCCAAACATGCAGGAGAAATGGAAACTTCCTTCTTATGGGAATCTGTAGTATGTTTACATTTGCTTCTGGAGAATATTAGACAATTGCAAAGTTTGATCTCTAGGCACTACTGTCCTACAAACAAACAAACAATAATAGTTTCCTCAAAGTGTGTATATCTGTGTTCTGAGCTTTGGTCTGAACTCACTTCAGTTGTACATCTCAGCTCAATTTCTGTCATTAATAGGTGATTTTCCATCATTAGAGGTACTCCATTGATTGTTTTCATGGACACAAACTGTTAAGCAACCCTAAATAAACAGTGCCTCATCTGCTGGAGAGAAACAGATACCCTAAATGTCCTCTTATCTTCCTGGAAAGAGGGGATGTTGGCAGCGATAACTGTCAAAAGTCAGTGCAATTCTTGGCCATTTTTGTACCATCTTCTACCATTTGACAAAGGTCCATCAACCAGGGATATAAATAATGAGAACGGTCATTATAATAATAATTTGCTGACAGTGATAAAGGAAGAAGAAGTAAGGGTGCTATAAGACAATGCACAGAAAGTATCCATAAAGGAGTCATGCTTAGATATCATCTCCTCCCAAATCTGTTTCCAGAATGGTCTCTTTTGACTATTTTATCTTCATATCACATTTCCCATATTGTGGAGACGAATGACAGAGATGCACACTGGTGAGTCCAAGCATAAGGCATTGATAATGATCATTTATTAGCTAGACGCTTGCTTGCTCTGAACTGTAAAGTACAGGCAGTCCCTGGGTTACATGGATCCGACTTGCATCAGATCCCTACTTACAAACAGGGTAAGGCAACCTCGCACTAGCTGCTTCTCCCCAGCAGACCAGGGAGACGCGGAGCGGCTTTTCTCAGCAGACACCTCAGCTTGAGAATAAAGAACTGAGGGAAGTGAGGTGTGGGAGAATAAAACTGAGCTCTGGAGAAATGTTTGGCTAGAGTTTCCCCTACAATATGTACCAGTTCCGACTTACATACAAATTCAACTTAAGAACAAACCTACAGTCCCTATCTTGTACGTAACCCGGGGACTGCCTGTAATCATGATTTGATGCTATGGCACTATATTGTGATTTTAGTATAAGAAAGCTACAGCCTTACTGTGCGATACTATGATTCTACATCAACACTTACTGTTGCAATGCAAACAACTTGTAATAAAGAATCAGGGAAAGACTTCCAAAGAAGGTAATATGTACTGGGAATACAAATAATAATACAGGCAGTCCCCTAGACTAACTTATAGGTTATTAAAGCAGACTAATAATGAGTATGTTAGAAGCTAGGAATTCTAGAGAATTAAAAAGAGAAGTAAAGGAACACGAGGAAACTTATGACCTGCAGACTTAAGGGCAACAAGAAGTGTTTTTTCAAGTAAAGTGGGAACAAAAAGAATTCTAACATTGCTACTGAAGGATAAATAAGTCAGAAGAGGCAGAGGTGTTCAAAAATTATTTCTGGTCTGTATTGGGGGGGCGGAGGGGGAGAGAAATGATGCAGTCATATCATATGATGATGAAAATACTCTTTCCATCCCACTAGTATCTCAGGAACAACTACTGAAGTTAGACATTTTTAAATCAGCAAGTCTAGATAAATTTCATCTGGGAGCTTTAGAAGAGCTGGCTGAGAAGCTTAGACATATAAAGTTAATTTTCAATAAGTCTCAGAATATTGGGGAAGTTGCAGTAGACTGGAAGAAAGCTAATGTGACTGTTTAAAAGGATAAATGGTGTGGTCTAGCTAATTATAGACTTGTCAGTCTGACATTAAAACAAGGTAATAGAGTGGTGGAAGTGGACTTTATTTATATAAATAAAAGGGTAGTATAATGTCAGTCAGTATGGTTTATGGAAAATACATCCTGTCTAACTTTTTTTGAGAGGGGAAGGATGAGATTACAAGTTTTGTTTAAAAAAAGGTAATA